GTCGCAGTCGGATTTATCGTTATTCGATGCCATCGCTGGTCGAGAGTCCACTGTAATCTGTTAGCCTTGTTGCACACAGTTAGGCATTGCTGTCTTGGCTTTAGATTTCTGCTTACCATGACTTATGTCTTTTTCACATTCTGTATGATCAAGCTCTACTTCACCTAGTTTATAGCTTCAAGGGTTATTTTCATTACCAAGGACTAGTACCTTACGCTTATCCACATTGAGCTTCATCTGCCATTTTTCAGACCAAGACATTAATTTGTCCAAATTCTCCTGGAGTTCATTGGTATCCTCCTCAGAATGAATCATATGGTCGATTTTTGTATCATCAGCAAATTTGCTCATGTCATTTGTAAGTCCTTCATCAAGGTCATTAATGTAAATTATGAACAACAGAGGGCCTAAAACTGATCCCTGTGGAATGCCACTAGTGACTAATCCCCATTCAGATTTGACCCCATTAATGGAAACTCTGCTTTCTGTTGGTAAGCCATGCCTCTATCCATGCTAGAACTTTACCTCCTATACCATGAGCTGCCACTTTTCTTTAGAGTCTCTTGTGAGGTACTTTATCGAAGGCTTTACTAAAATCCAAATAAACAGTATCATATTCTTTATCACTGTCTACTGCCTCAAATGTTCTATTGAAGAACGTCAGTAAATTTGTCAGGCAGGAACGACCTCTCATGAACCCATGCTGAGATTCATTAATCAAGGTGACTTCTAATAATATCAGCTATAATTGATTCTAAGAATTTGCCTACTGTAGACTTCAGGCTTATTGGACGGTAATTTGAAGGAATGGACTTATCCCTTGATTTGAATATAGGAATCACATTACCCATCTTCCACATCTCTGGCACAACACTAGTACGGATGGACGCATTAAACACACTCTTGAATGGCTGACTTGAGTTCCATCTTGCATTCTTTAAGTACCCTGGAAAACAACTCGTCGGGTCCTGGGGATTTATTTTGCTTCAGTTTGTCTATCTGTTTGATAACCATGTCCCTCGTGACAGTAAATATTAGTTAATTTGAATTCATCAGGAACTGAATAATTGTTATTTCTGGAATCTCATTTATGTCTTCCTGTCTAAAAACTGACAAAAATAGTCATTAAATAGGGAACACATTTCCAGTTCGTTATTTGTTAGCTGTCCATTCCCTATTTCCAGAAGTCCTACTTTTTCCTTCACCTTTGTCCTATACGCTTGAACTGTTTTGATTAGTCTTTGATTCATTAGCAACTCTAATTTCATAGTCATGTTTAGCCTTTCTAATCCCCTTTTTTACTTCTCTTTTTAAGCTGAACATATTGGCCAGTAAGGGTAACCTCTCCTCTTTTGATATGCCTATAAAATTCCCCTTTTCCCTCCCCTAATAGATGCTTTAGCCTTCTGTTAATCCATTTGGGATCGTTATTATTAGACCAAAATTCTCTCTGGGGAATGTATATGCTCTGAGCATGTTGTACATTATTAAGAAAAAATCATAAATGCAGATCCCTTTGTAATTGTAAGTATGATCATCATCAATAAAATCATAAGCTAGATTACCCCAATTGGGATTAGACATGTTCCCCAAGTCCATTATAATTGGCAGAATGAAAATCAGGGACTTTTACCGTATTATCATTATTCTCGTATTCCCAGTTTAATGCTAGAAGTGATGGATTTGTGATCACTTGCACCAAGCTCTCAGTGATCTTCAAACTATTTACAAGTGCTTCCTTATTTGACATGACTAGTTTGAGCAAATTATTACCCTTGGTAGGCTCTGTTACACAATGCTTCAGAAAACAGTCCTAAACTGCGTCCTACAAAGTCACTGGACTCCAGATTACCAGTCAAAGAAGTCCAGTCAATTTGACTTAAGTTAAAATCCCTACTATCATTACATTATTGTGTCTAGAAGCCCTAACAATTTCATCCGAAAGAAGTCTCCCTCTATCATGATCCAGGCCTGGAGGTCAGTATATTACACCTAGAATTAGGTTTTCTTGACCTACAAATTTTACCCAAAAAGATTGTTACTAATCCATCTATTTTTATACCTGTTTTTATGCAACAATTTATATTTTCTTGTACATATAATGCAACTCCCCCCCTTCCCATTATATCTATCCACGTGGAACAATTTAAACCCTTGAATATTACACTCAGCAATCATATCCTGACTCTTTAACCCTTTCAGGGTCAACAGGCCTTCTCCTAAACTTGTTCTCAGGGTCGAAAATTTTTCGAAAAAAAAAAAAAAACTTGTAAAATGACAGAGAATCTTTTTTCTGATCATAATGACACCAAAAGTATGAAATTTGATGGAAAACTTACAGAATTATGCTCTCGCACAGTTAGCGGTCTCACCAATGTTTACACATCGGCGATTCCGCCCACTTTGAGCCCTATTTTTGGCCAATTCCAATGTACCAGTCGACAAAAATCATAACTATTTCGCTAGAGCTCCATTTTTTTCTATCAAATGAGTACAAGAAACCACTCATTTACCGATTTCAACTATCCAATAAAGTGGTCAGAAATTGGCAATTTTGCCAATTTCACACAAATTTCAAAAGATGCCAATTTTCAATAGGGTCCAAAATAAGCAAGACAGACATTCCTGGCACAAAATAACATTTTCTCTGTTCATTAGTCACGTCCCCAGGCCTCTCTTAATTTCTTTTGCTTTCCACTTTGAATTTTTATTCTCACAAAAAATAGAAGATCTACTGTTATGCAGACTACTGCATTAGTGTAGAAATGGTATAAATGATATCGCGCACTTGTGAAAGAATATTAACTCACCAGTTGACGTGTATTGGACGCATGGAATGATTTGTTTACTTTTGAACTTTGGCAAAAATCGAACATTTCTGCTACTTGAGCTCATTTCAAGGTACTTTTCATTGTGAAACCAATCAAATCATCTCAATTTCTGTAATATGTCTTCCATTCTATAAAATGAGACCAGGAAAACTAGAATACAACCATAAGTAGCATACAAAAATACACTGCAAAGTCGCTGTTTTAAAGCAAAAAGTCG